GCAACGCCACCGGCGAAGCAACCCACGGTCTTCCACCCCGACCCTCGTCAGCCCGTGCGCGGGAACCGGTCTGTATGTGGGATCCGAACCCTCGGTGGGCGCGCTGCCGCATCCCCAAGCGGCGCACTGTAGCAGTGCGCCACCGGGCCGGCCCCAAACATCTACTTTCTAAAGCGACTGTGCCCTAAGGTCTCCTAAGGTGCAGGTAGTGGTTTGCTCTCCTCCTCAGATCTCATTATTTGATGTCTCTGACTTTATTTTCTGTTGTCGGACTCTCTGTTCCTCATTGTGATCACTGCTTCTAATCTGCTCCTATTGTTCCGGTCCTGCTAGCTTTCACCCTTCCCTGTCCTTTGGTTTCTCTGAGCTTCTCCCCTACTGGACTGAAAGCTCCTCAAGGAAAGGAAGATGTTCTTGTTTGAATAATTTTTTTCATCCCCAGAATTTAGCACAGTGCTTAGACATTCATGCTTATTCAAGAGAAGAGAAATCTGAACTTTCTCAGTGAAAGGTTATTTTTGACAGGTTTCACACTTTTAAACCGTGTGTCCTGAGTAAGTAGGTCACCTTCTCTTTGCCTGAGTTTCCTCATCAGTAAAATGGAAATAAAAATAGTACCTCCCTCACAGTATTGTTGTGGGGATTAAATAAGTTAGCACAGGGTTTTTGTTGTTGTTGTTGTTGTTGTTTTCTCCCTATGGCCAGTATTCAAGTTTTGCTGGTTCTTCCTTCCTGGCAGTTTTTAATAAACCCACCGCTTCGTACCTGCATGGTCACTAGCATAGTCACTCCACTCTTTGTATCTTGGGCCTCTTTAAGCCTCTTCTGGGATTTCCCCATCATTGTATGCTGTCCTTCTTTTCCGAGGTCATTTTTATCAGATCTATTACCGTATCAAATGCTGAAGTTACCACAGATTGAGAATCCCTAATCTGAAATTCAATGTCTGAAATGCTCCAAAATACAAAAATTTTGAATTTTCTACAAGTAGAAAATTCTACACCTGACCTTCCATAACAGGTCATAGTCAAAACGCAGGTGCACAACGCACAGTTTATTCAGCTTCCCCAAGAGAAAAAAGAACCTCTCAGCCCGTTTCTGCTGTGATATATCTTTTGCATGCATAGCCAGATTCCCCCAGGCAAGAATGCCCACAGAGGGTAATAAAACATCATGTGTGGGGGGGCCTGGTACACCTACTGATGGTTCCCCACAATGCCCCACATGGGGCCACAACCTACATGCATTACTCATTGTGTTTTTTGCTTCTTCTCTGCTCTGTGTTGTAAAGATAATGTTGAAAATGTCAAAAAGGCCTGAAGATACCCCTATAGATAGGAGTGATAAGAAAAAGAGGAAGCATTTATATTTATCCAAAGCACAGAAAGTCAAGCTGTTGGAGAAATGGACAATGGTGTAATTTTGAAACATCTTACAGAAGAGTGTGGTGTTAGAATGACCATTGCAAATGATCTGAAACAACAGAAATGCAAACTGTTGAAGTTCTGTGCTGAAAGTGATGAACACCAGTTAGTGAAAAATAGAAAAACACTGCACAGAGCTAAAAATGAAGATCTCAATTGTGTATTGAAAGAGTGGATCCATCAGCATCCCAGTGAACACACGCCACTTAATGATCTGCTGGTCATAAAACAAGCAATGATCTATCACGATGAACTGAAAATTGAAGAGAACTGTGAATGTGCAACAGGCTGGTTGCAGAAATTTAAGAAAAGACATAGCATTAACTGCAAGATTTTGTTATTCCATGACAAATGTTCTGCTCATCCTCCAGCTGAAATTCTCATCAAAAATAATGTTTATGCCATGTACTTCCCCCCAAAT